GGGGTCCTATTATGCTCTTTTACAAAGTCTTGATTTTGTTTTGGGGGTGTACTAGAACATGCTCTCATACTAGGTTGTTCGAAAAACACATTATTTTTCACATATTTTACATTATTACAACACCTCTCTCCCCAGTCTGGCATGAACGGCTCGAATGGTTCCTGTATCAAATGAAGGCCCGCCTTCTGAAATACTAAATACGATTGGTTAGCTGGGCCAGTGTGTGTTGTGATTGGTTAGCTGGGCCAGTGTGTGCTGCTGACCATCCAGGTGCTAAACTCTTGGAAAACAGAATACTCCAAACGAAACGCAGGTGAGTCCTTCATGATCTGCAGCACGCTGTACATCACCAACTCCCACCTGACCGGTGCTAAGGTATAATACTCTTATTCCACCAAAACCTCTACCTATGAGTACATGGACATCCCCATCCATAACCAATACTTTCACATGTCCATGCTGGATTACAACGCCAGGGATCGTGCACTTTATGGCTGGAACAATGGCCACCAGGTACTGTTCAACGTCACGCTGTTCCACATTATTCAAACTGACGACGAATCCTGAGGTGAGAGGAAAAGTAGTATTGCTGTGAAATAATGGCTTTTATATATTTCAATCAAAAGATGAGTGCCTCTGGAGATGTCAGTCAGCATTACACTCCTCCAGGCTTTTACATTAACCAAATGTGCTGCTTTCTAAAGACTGTTCAGAACTAATTATATTAATTGTGATTATTTTATTGTACTAGTTTTTTTTTTTTAGGTTAAGGAAAAAATCTGCATCAAGTTTTGATGGATGGACAGACAGACACACAGACAGACAGAGACAGACAGACAGACAGACAGACAGGCAGACAGATAGAGACAGGCAGACAGACAGGCAGACAGACAGACAGACAGATAGAGACAGACAGACAGACAGGCAGGCAGACAGACAGACAGACAGACAGACAGACAGACAGACAGACAGACAGACAGACAGACAGACAGACAGACAGACAGACAGACAGACAGACAGACAGACAGACAGACAGACAGACAGACAGACAGACAGATACAGACAGACAGATGGATAGATAAGATACATTCTTTTCCAAATTATATTTGACCATTTTGCTTTAGCACTATGACAATATAGCAGTCAAACAACAAATTATGTATTTCTCACACAGTATAAATGTGTTTTTATGCATAAAAATATACAGCTGCTTTTAGGAATTTTAACAAGGTGATCATTAGATTTTATGGGGCTTTTCATTTCAAAACCCCTGCACGGTATAACATGACAACCTCTACGGCCTTATTAGAAAATGTTTACCACAACAATATGATGAAAGACACCATTAATCATTAAATAGTTATATTTATTTTCAGCAATAATCACAATAAACAATTCTTCCACTTTCTGGAACACTAGTTTCTGATTGGCCGGTCGCATCAGTGGAGGATTTTACTATAATGACTTGCTATTTTTTAATGCAGCTCATCTAATTACAGTTTACAAATGGAATTAAATGCACTAAAAGGTATTGCCATAATGTGATTTCTATAGCTATATGTTGCAGTTCCAGCACATTTAATCAGTAAAAGTGCTCATCTGGCAATACTGACCATGGCAAAACCCAATAATGTGGTAGTGTATTCCGTTGAGGTGCTATTGATGCTGTATTGATTTTCCTGGTCAAGGTCATGAGCAAAGAGAAACATCTCTTCTACTGAGTACACTTCACTGATTGATTGTCTATTAGGGAAGAGCGGTAAATATCCCCTGCATTATGTAGCTCTGAAGCTAATGACAAAGGCAGCTAGCACATGACTTATTAAGGCCAAGATGAAATAGAGCTCCACCAATTGTGAAAGTGCTTTCTTGGCACAGATGCACAGCACCCGAGTCTCCAGCCAAAGAAACTCCACCAAGGACCCTGTTTGGTCACATCAGCAAATAACCACGATGATAAATCGCTGCTGGATAATGATATGCGATATTACTTTCTTATGATAAAACACCCACCCAAACCACACTTCTAATGAACAAAAAGCGCAATTATAACTTATGAAACTGTCACGAAAGATCTCTTTTCATCTATTCAGGATACAGAGACAAGGCATTTAATGTTGTTTATTACATACATACAAAATAAGATAGAAAAATACATTATAAACTTGTAACAATGGCTGTTAAAACAGACATGTCTTCTCATAGGCAATACTTGGGCAGGGAACACACACGTTTGGGGCTGAAAGACGGCATGTCGTACACACATATCCACATGATAAAAGACATTCAGATGATCAAACTTGATTCTGAAAGCTGAAGTGTGTAATTTTTTTTTGTTCAAATCTTAAACTATCCCAGTTTAATGTACAGAAACAACTACTGACTTCTGTCAAAACACGGGTCGATATGTTGTCATTTGGCTTAACCAATGGTGCGAGTCGGGGGGTGGGACTTGTTGGACTGACCAATGGCAGGTGGGGAAATGGTTTAGAAGACATGCTTGAAAAAATCATTATTTTTCACTTTTCTTTTTGGTGTCAGAAATTACACACTTCACCTTAAAACTTAAAAACTCAATCGCAAAACCAGGACAAATCAGTCTAATATACGTTTAATTTCTATTGAGAGTGAGACATCATGCTTTATCAATTACTGTACTCACCTCTCATATTTAAGTGTTTTTTTTTTGTTTTTTTTTAAAATAATCACATTTCTGTATTCTTACTAATCAAAATTTGCTTTTAATATGTAGATAATTCACATTTCGTATCCCAAAGCATTTTCAAACACATCACGCCTTGATATACCTTCTTTGATATTATATTGTGATGGCACTGCAGAATCATAAGTAGAAATGAGAGGAAATGCAGACACAACAGGAAGACATGTTTGATGTCACAGAGACTCCCCTCAAGACGTCAGAGGCCATTCTGTTGCATAGTAAAGAAAGAGTTTGGAGGGGGACGCACATTACAATGATACGGTGCAGGCCAGCGCAGGCAGTACACACAGCTTATCCACCATACTGTTTCATATCCACAAAATATCACTTTTAATCAGCATTTGTTTTGTTTTCAAAAAATATTTGAATTGAGAAGCAAAATCATGTATTAAAATGTCTTGTCAGATAATATCTCTTGATTAAAAATGTATTGTTTTCATCCCACTGGCAGTTTTTTATTTATATAATTATATTATTTATATTATGTTTTATTTATTTTCCGAGTTTTATGCTTAAAACAAGAAACATAAACTTAATACAAGACATATATTTTCTCAAAACCAGATAATTATTTACAGCATGTACACTGTTATAATAATTATATATAATAAATAAGATTTAAAAATGAGCATTTTAAAATAACTGTTTATTTTTATTTTATTTAAATATATTTTAAAATGTCATTTATTTCTGTGATGCGAAGCTGATTTTTCAGTGTCACGTGATCCTTCAGAAATCATTCTAATATGCTGATTTGCTGCTCAAGAAAACATTTTTTATTGTTATCAATGTTGAAAAGTTTCAGTTTCTGTGGAAATAGTAAGATTATTTGATGAATAGAAATTTCAAAAGAACATCATTTATTTGAAATAGAAATCTTTAGTATTTTAAAAGACCTAACTTACCCCAAACATTTGAATGGTAGTACTTAAAATATTAAGCAGCACAACGTTTTCAACATTGACATGCATTGCATTTTAAAGTATATTAAAACAGACAACCTCCGTTGAGGACAGCAAGCCCAGTTTGTTTACCATTAACTAGCAGAACCGGATGGGCAGGCCAACTCGTAAAATTACTATTTTATTGTATTTATCAGATACACACAGTCTTGGTGAGCAGAAGAGACGTCTTTCAAAGACATTAAAACAATCTTAAACTTTTGACCAATTGGTGTTTAAGTTGTATATGAAGAGTTCATTTGCAAAAATCGATAAATGCCACTTTTTAAAAAAATGAGCTGATTGCCTGCATTATTCTCCACATATAGCGCGATCGGAACCCTAAACACGTTTTGTCAAAAAAGCTGGTTTTGTCCACTTTCAAGGCATTGCGAGTTCACGTTTTACTTGCAGAAGCCGACCAGGGGCGGTTCTAGACCACAGTAACTGGGGGGGCCAGACAGGGGCCACTTGTGCTTTTAGGGGGCACAATTTTAAAAATGAATCTTTAAACTACTTTAAGTAGCCTATTATTCATTCAGTAAATTTTCACCATGTCATGTATCGCTGCAATCTAGATGTAATCTATAACAATGTCAACTAAAATATGTCATATGACACACAGCAGCCACAAACAGATATAGGCTTATGTCCCTACTGAAAAAGCAAACAAACAAACAAACAAACAAAAAAAACGTTTACACTATCAAAGAACATTTTCACTTCAGTCCAGCGAATTCAAGCACTCTCAAAAACTCCCATAATAATCTCTAAAGCTGTTTACACTGTAAAATTAACACCTTACTTACATTCGTACATCTTCACATTGTTGTTTCTGATGAGATAATTAGCCAGAGATTTCAGTCAGCCAGCGCGCGCGGTGACGAAACAGCGTGTTTCAGCGGTGACTCATCTGAACGCTGATTGGTCTTTGTATTCATAAACTCAACATAATCGTATGGGATTGGCTATAATGTGCAGTGCTTTAAAAACGTGCGTGTCTCTGGCTCTGTGCCAGCCAGCGAACGCAGATTTGAATTTAGCTGCTGGGGATGTCTTTTTTTATATGCATAGTTTAGATTTTGTAAATTAGCTGTATTAGTTTAAGTTATTATTACTTAATCAAAACAACCCAACTACAGTTTGATTGATATTACTTGGAATGCGCAATAAAAAAAAAAAACGTGATTTCTGAAAAAAATAAAATAAAAATGAAGTTATCGTTTTTGCAAATGAACTCTTCATATATTCTCTGAAAACTCTTTATCATACACAAACTTATAATTCGTATATATATATATACATATTAAGATATTTAGATATTTTTTACTGTAAAAGAAGACAAACATACTGATTAAAAGAAAGTTTTGTTTGGCACTGAATACTGTATATCCTATATACCATCTGTAATACCATACTGATATTACAATGCATTAAACGTCAACATAAAGTGCAAATTAATTCAAGTACTGTGAGCAAAATACCCACAATTCTGAAGGATGAAGGCAACAAATAGACCTTGACTCCTGGCGTCAGTTTGACAGTAATCGTGTGGTGTGAAAGGCCTTGATTTGATCGCTGTGTAATACTGGGACGGAGCGTTGAGCTGCTCCACCCGAAACAAGTGATACGTCACTTATGTGGTTCCTAAAGGGAAAGCTGTGTGTACTGACCTGGACTACATTTCCCAAATCCATCGTAAACCTATGCAGATCTACGTAGACTCACGATGCTTTTGGGAAATGTAGTCCTGGTCTGCTCATTCGCCACTCATGATGCCATTCATATTGAACATGAGAACTATGATAAGGCAAAGGCACTTGAATGATATTTCCCTCTCAACCCCATCGGTTCTACGAAAGGGTTGTTTTGGTCATCCACGTCTACATCCAATTACAGAAAACTGGATTGTTTTCACTTCATAAAGGGTTCGGTATTGTGTGTGTCTTTTTTTTTCTGTTCTCTTCACAATATTCGACAATATAAAATAGCGAGTTGTAAAAAATATACGTTCTCTGGAGGATAACAAAAGTGTTGTTCCTGTACATGTTTTCTTTCATCACTCTTTGAACATTTATCTACAAATTTCATACATTTGTACAGCAGATAGGCAAGCATGGCTTATACATCCTCAGAGAGGCTTGTTCACAGAAAAGTGTCGGATTGTTCCGGAAGGGAAATACTCTTCTTTTTAATGTATTTTCAGCTGAAATGCTTCTCAAATGGCCCGTCGTGACACGTGACGAGCCGCGGTCGTAGTGCGAGAGGTACATCATCCACACCGTCATGCAGTACATTCAGACTCATTACCGTAACTGCAGGATTACTCTAGCGACGGGTTGGGGTGCGATGAAGGGCAGTCCGTTTCCTCAACAGTGTCGTCGTTGAGCTGGAGGCTTTTGCACAGCAACCTGGGAGGTCTGGCTTTGATTTAGAGGGTGCGGGGCAAATCATTATTGCTTATTGCTTACAAAGAGTGCAGATCTACAGCGGCTGGAACGTCCGGGCATCTGCCGCCCGCGTCCAACGAGCGAGGTTTAGGGAAGCTGTATATCCACTGCCTGTGACAGCTCTTAGATACTCTTTTTGTCTTTCATTCATTCATTTTAGGGCAGAGGTGTGATCTGCAGGCAGGTAATGGGCAGGTCGTCATTGGGTGGAGAGGTCAGAAGGTCAGGGGTTAGTTGCCAGTGGTGGCTGAGTGGGTTAGAGAGACAAACGAACAGAAAAGGGGGAGGGCAACAAGGAAAGGAGGAAAGAAACAAAAGATAGAGGAGATTAGTTTCAGCTAGTGAAAGCAGGATGACAATATGAAAATTATTTATAAACCGATCACAAGTAGGCTCTTGATTCAGTCGAGTCTCCCCACAGCACAGCTTTTATATCTCAGCAGCGTTGAGCTAAGACATAAAACGGTTAAAGTGGATGATATAGTGAGAAAAGGCAGGAAAATACTTTACGCAAGGTAATAAAACGCTTTTCAGTCAAACGTGTTATTATTCCAGATATGTTTTTATTCTGCTGAATTGAAGTGTAATATAGTGTATATTTATATTTTTATATATTTAACCCAGCTTAATATTTTAATTGAATGTGAATTCGTTAATTTATAATTAAGCCTTTTGTAGGTTTCCCCGAAACTAATGGTGGTGTTTGTAAACGGATTTATCGCACAACTCTCTATAAATGTATATACAGGATATATAGTATATCTAACTTTATTTACATATATACAGTACACTCATGTGACGTTATATATACTTAAAAGCAAATAAGTTTTTTTTTTTCTCGCCAAAAAGTTACTATATTGTCGATCAGCTATTTATATAAAGTTGGATATGAGTATGTCCACACTAGTATGTCACATACTAGTATACTCATGTAGGGTGATATATTCTATATAGCAAATCTGTCGCAAAACGTAAATTATATTATCGTCCAACTCTAATATGCTCAATGCGAACATTAAGACACGATATTAAGAGATTCTAAACATTAACATCACGATTTTCTGTAAAGCTGCTCTGAAACAACGTGTATCGTGAAAAGCGCTATGCAAATAAATTTGGCTTGAATTGAAAGTTTGACTTGAATGTTTTATGAGGGCGGGACTTACTGTTTGTCTGACCAATTGAAAACAGGGGGAGTGTTCGGCAAGCCAATTTGAAAACAATCATTTATGCAATTTGTTTTTGTGACGCTATTCATGAAAAAATGACTTCAGCTTTAACTAATTTCTCTTTAAGATGCTCTTCAACAGTTGTTTAGTCATGACAGTAACAGCCATTGCGAAAGAGTTCACAATAATGTTCGCAATGCATACACGTATGAAATCAAGCTTGTGTATTCAAAAGCTTTTGGTTTACGTACTTGCGTAGAGTATGTTTCAAGTCAAAATAATAACTCTGGCTGTGGGTCGACTGAATGTGAGAGCCGTGGAAGAACTGTTGGTCTTCATCTTTGTAAAATGGTAAAATCATGAGGTAAAAGCATGATTTTACACACAGCATGAGGAACAGCTTATCCTGACAGGTCACGTGTTAAGAAGGAAGAAATCAAGAGAGAAAACACTTAGAAAATTCAAAGGAATACAACTGTGGCAAATGTGTCTAATGGTTAGTAGCAGTCAAGTGAATGGACAGACTGAAGGTACGGTCACAGTAGGCTTTAAGCATGACAGGATATGACGTCACGCTCTAGGCTAGCGGGATTCAGTTAAAGCATTCAAATTCATTGAATTCAGTTCAATTCAAATGTTGGGTTTGGATCTGATTAGTGATCTCTGCTTCATGATCTTCGCAATTTCCAACACAATCTCATGGTAATTCGTAGCGATTTTATGTTTTGGCAAATTAGTGGCTAATTTGTATAATTTCTTTATGATCTGTTCAGACGGTATGTGAGCAGATGTTTAGTGGTGGAATTAGTGGCCTTCATGCTTTTTTCCCCTAAAAATCCTATACTCTAAAAAATGCTGGGTTAAATACAAACCAGTGCTGGGTAAAATAGGGACAAACCCAGCAATTGGGTTGTTTTGACCCAGCGGTTGGGTTAAATGTTTAACCCAACCTTCTGGGTAGTAACCCAACCGCTGGGTCAAAACCCAGCACTGGTTTGTATTTAACCCAGCATTTTTTAGAGTGTAGGTTTCCATATGATTCACATTGTACAGATTCATACAAAATCGCCACCTCGTAAAACATTTTCCAGTGAGATCGGGTTAAACTCGAACCACAACATTGCAAATCACGCAGCTGTGGAGTTTGAAAAAGTTTCATTGATTTGCATTGAGCCAATCTGAGGTTTAGACCCTCTATTGCGCAAACGTCTTTCTTTTCGCTTTATGACTTCAGATGAGTTCACCGACCCTAAACTTCGTAGTAAAAGAGAGAACTTCCAAGCATATGCTGAATGAATGGGAGCAGCGAGTCTAGTGTGACCAACCGTGAGAGAGGCAGCTGCTAATGAAATGAGAGGAGAGGACAGTCAGTGAAGGCCACAGTGATACCTGACTGCTATTAAGCACTAGAGCTCTTAAGAGGTTCCAGCATTAAGCCGAGAGTTATGATGGAAATGGAAGATCAATGTTTTTCTTAGTAAGAATTGAGTCAGAAATAATTTAGGGCCAGAACAACTGCTGTTTTTTTTTTTTTTACTCAATAAAAATGTTTATTGCCTTTTGAAATTCTTTTTTCTTCTATTTACAACAACATCAAAATCTTGGCCTTAATGATACAAAGCAACACTACAAGGAATTTTCTAGCATAATAGCCATGGAAATTCAAGCGGTGGGACTTTTAGCCATTACCAGACTACTGACAAATCACAGGACACATAATATAAAATGCTTTTGCATATAAACATTGAAAAAGTCCTGTCATTCATATATAAAGCCCTAACATATATCCAAAAATATAGGCAATTTTCTAACATGGTGCTATAAAGCTGCTATGATGCATATTTTTCTTTCCTACAAATAGCCCTCTATAATACCATTGCTATCTCTTCCAAAATACAAGTAAAATTTGACAATTCAAATACATTCCTGCTTTATATATTTTTAGATATATATATATTTATATATATTTTAAAAGCCACAAGTAAATACTATTTTCTTTTCGACAACAGAAATAAAAAGAAGCTTACAGTAAAACATAAAAAATGTATGCATCAAGTGGAGTTTTTTTTTCTTTTTTCTTAAATGCATTTATACTCTGACACGATCACATCCACAGAGTGGCGCCGACATTATCGTCCACTCGGCAGTGGTCAACCGTAAGACTCGACAGATTCGTTTCAGGTTCATGGTCTGAGGTTTGATGTAGGTTTCACTTTTTTCAACATGTCTACTCGTGAAGAGCAGAGGAGATGAAGGTTTCTGACATATTCAGTGCAAAATAAAAGGCTTGTGCCACATAGAATCTCTTTATCAAATGAGGCAAATATTGACAGATGGAAATAATAAAAATAATAATAATAATAATAAAATAAGTAAACAGCTGAAATAAAAAAGTGATTCGTGTGGTCCAGTACAAATGCACAGATTGGAAATCTGGAAGCTCTGTGCAAATGGGTTCTCAAAAGTAGATTTTCTTCAAAGCAGTAGTTCCGTTATATAAAAACATGTATAGCACAAAAAGGATATGAAAAACAAAACATTAAAAGAGAGGAAGCAATCTCAGTATCTGATCTGCTTGATATCTGTAGTCATTTTGCCAGCTTAAGCAAACATCTATAACTGTAACACACGCATACACACAAATACACAATGTCTAACCTGCGCAAGCTGAATTTATATGCAACTAGATGCATGTGAACAGGGAAATATTAGAGGGTTTTTGCAATACTGAGAGTTGATTTTGTAATTGTTTCATAGTGATGAGGTGATTATTGCACCATGGATGCTTTGTCAAATCATTACGCATCTTAATGTACTCATTAAAGTTATCATTCGTGATTATTGTGATTATTTTGAACATGTGGTGGGGACAAAATCTAATTTAAACCTAGAAATAATTTTGGCTAAACGAAGAAATGTTATGAAAGACTGAAGCTTAAGGTGCTTTTAAAATCACGCTGGAGAACATGATCAGGTCTTACATAGACTTGCGGAGTTCAATGAACTTGAGCGGTGCTGACAAACCAAATATTTTTTACATTCGTTTTAATTTGTCAAGTCAACTTTATACTCAAATGTTTAATCTGAATACATAAGTTGTATCTTTTTATGACATAAATATGGCCTTTTCACTAATGGTCTCCATTCATCAGACCATTCATTTTTCGAAAAAAATAAAAAATTTTTTTTAATAACTAATTGACATCACAAAATGCACTTCAATTAGGTCAGTTGGGGGTACAGAAAATATCAATACTATTCATACAAAACTGCATACTATTCAGATTTTCATAACTGCCAATCACATCTGCATTAGAAGATAACATCTTATTACATCAATATTTAAATACACCTTAACTAATTAATTAATAAACATTAAAATGGTTTAATTAATCAGGCTGTATCCAAAAAATATTCCAATTACGTATTACGCTTGTTGATAGTGACACAGATTTAGTGAAGGCACAATTTCCATTCTTTAAAGCCAAAGTGTCTCATTTCTAGTGTAATCGAACAGAACGGCATAAAATAATGACTGCATATATTTTAACACTGACAAAATGATACACTTCAGCTTTAAAGATCTCCTAATGGCATTTTTCTGTTTTGAAAAGCCTATAACCTATTGATAGTGAATGTGGATTTTAACACACATTATAGCTATCGCTGGGATTTTGATTTGTATATCCACACTACATGTAATTACAAACAGTCACTTTAGCTCATTTGGAAAGGACACATTCATGATCTTTTCAAATGACTCCCAAATGTTTCAAGAGTCAATATATAAAAAGCCTGTTTAGTGTTTGCATAACTAGAGAAAACTATTGAGCGTAATGGGGTGAATAAAGCTCCATTATTTGTCATCAACATCATGCTGAAACCATAAGGTCATCAAAATAATGGAATGAAGTCAACCACTCCACCTGCGCAGGAAAGACCACGTGTGTGTGTGTGTGTGTGTGTGTGTGTGTGCGCGAACTGAAGGGTTTAAAACAAACACACCATATTAAACAGCAAGGTGTACCGAACTGCACATGCTTCACAACAGATCAGGACCAACAGTGAGTTGCTACTGGTAATGAGTAGAAGCACATGAACTAAACTAACCTCTGTCTGCGGTCACTACCCTTTGGTAAGGATGGACGCGCATTTCGTGCCTTCGAACTTTAGTTGTCACTGCACCTGCTTGGATTGCAATAACATCACCAGAAAACAGATCAGTCAAACCTCACAGTCTCCAAATCATCCCGAATGTGTTTGACAAACGCAAATCATTTAAATTATACAAGTTAAGGCACAAATAATCCTTTCCCCCCCCCCATATGTAAATATCTCAACACGTGTTTGTACAAAATTCAAACATGGTTTCATTTATCCTCAGTGGATCCGTGGGTTTTTGCGTAGCTTGGATACAGTATGACAGACAGGAGTGCACACTCTCAACGGGAAGCTTTACTAGTCACGTAATCTTGCGCTGGAGCGACAGTGTCTTTAAATATAATACTGATAAAGTCACTCTCCGAGAGAGAACAACATTTAGGCACATCTGCTGGAGTACAAAAAAAGGAGAATAGAAATGTACGGCAATGAATTAAGTGATTAGTAAAGCAGAACAATGGCGTAGCAGTCAGCCGCACAGTCCAGGGGAAATATGTGGGAGTATGGAAGCATACGCATGGCATTACAAGTACAGCCGCTGTGGGCTCTGGGAATAGCCAGTGTAAATGAACAGGAGTGTGTCTGACTGACTGCTAGGCCAGATTCATGCTCTGAACAAACATCACTCAAAACCAACAAGGCAGCTGTGAAACGAAAGCGTGTGAATGTTAACACTCAGATCGGATGAGGGGCTCAGTGAGGATCCTGGGAAACGCATTTAGCCTTTCGTGGGGAATAAAGGAAGGGAAGGGGAAATTATGGGCAGGACTGACGGTCCTCGGGGAAACAACACACACCAGAGTCAGACGGAGCATGTTTTAGGACAGTTGGTGAGGCGATGGCACTGGGAGAATCGCAATAAATTTGTAATGTTTTAAAAAAGTAGCCTATGCTTGCTACATTTATTTGATCACAAATACGATAAAAACAGTAACATTGTCATTTATTCCTGTGATGATCTACTGAATTGTCAGAATCATTACTACAGTCTTCGGTGTCACACGATGCTTCAGAAATTGTTCGAATAACAAACAAAACAGTTTTTATAATTATCAATGTTGAAAACAGTTGTGCTGCTTAAAATGTTCGTTTTCAGGATTTTTTTTTTTGATGAATAGAGAACAGCATTTATTTGAAACCGAAACCTTTTGTAATGTGATAAATGTTTTTGCTGTCACTTTTGTTGCAGTTTAATTTAAAGAAATTTCTTTAAAAAAAAAACAAATCTTACTGACCCCCAACATTTGAATGGTTGTGTATGTCTGGATCATATTTCAACCAAAAATCAAAAGACAAATATTTGATGCTTATACAATAAAATAAAGCTTTTCTTTGTATTAAGATCTTTTGCAAAGTAAGACAATTAAGCATAATTCCCCATATTGTCATTACATATGGGTGTTTTGATTTAGCTTTTTTCTTTTTTAATAATTCTTAGCATTTTAATTCTAAATACTTTTACTAGAGCTGTAATACTGCAGTGCAATACTATTATAATTGCTTATTTCTTTGCAAAACAGAAGTGAGAAAAATATTTTTACATGTGTAGGGTTTGATGAAAACTTTCCATTCAGTAAATATGACTGAATTCAGATGGTTTATGCACTTCATATCAACACTTTGGGTTTTGGGTTCCAAACATGTAGTTAAAAGGCTTTGATAACTCTGTAAAAAATATTATAAGCCAATATCCTCACTGTTTGATTATATATTGTGACTATGCCATTTTAGATTTTAAGCCAAAATGCCCCACCATAGTGCATTAAACTGTCCTAAAACTGCTCGATGAACAGCCTGGCTTTCAACAGATGCCCCATCTCAAATAGTTTCCCTCCCAATTTGAGCCCCACTGTCCCCTCACCATCCTCATGTTGCCCCTCATCCTGATGCGGCCCGCTCAGACTGAGGGATGGGGGTCATCCAGAAAGGCTTGTGCAGCAGTTTGGGGCTCAGTGCTTTGTCTCCCTCATCATTGAACAACACATAAAAAACTAAAACATCACATTACAGATAAAAACAAAAGTACAAAACCAAAAAAAACAACAACAGAAAAACAAAAACCATGATTCAAAGAAACAGACAGAATGAAAGAGGCCGGGGAGTCCAGCCATTCCGATAAGAGGGAGGCGGGGCAGGGGGCGTGTCTGCGGTGTGAGGGAGGGGCTTGTCGGTCGGGGCGGGGGAGAGAGGGGGCACTTTAAAAGGGAGGCCGACCGGTTGGCTCTCCGCGCTGGACTGTGATGGGAATGTGACAGGTCTGAAAGCCCAGGTAGAGGGGCAGCTCTTCGGCCTTTGAGGATGCTGTATAGGTCACACAAGAGAGAAGACAGGGTGAAAACCTCCCCTCAGCTCTCCCACCCCCAAAACATCCTATCTGTTACGGGACGTTCACACACACGACGATTATATCACTGGAGGCTGCCAGTGGCTCTGCTTCACTGGTTCTGCCTTAATTAACCAAATGAGAAAAAAAAAAAAATGTGCACGGCTATTATGATTATTATGGTAATCAGCACCAAAAGCAGGTTTTTCATTGAGTCTTCTGCAAGAATCGTGATACAATCAGACAACACCAAAGCCTGTCACTTTCTTCTTAGAACTTTCTTAACTTCTAATCTAAGTTTTGTGAATCCAGCCTTTTTTTTTTGTTAAAATCTAAATGTAATATTATAAACTGGGAAGTTCCTAATGGTTCTGGTGGGGTGTCCATAGCTTCTAAAAAAAGTTCATCACAAATGCAATTTACTGGCTGTAAAAATAAGTTGGCATCATTATTTGGCAAGGTTTTTAAATTTCAGCAGTGCATACAGTAATTACGTAAATGTATTTGTAGTATACTTAGCATGAAGTAAATGTATTTCAGATGCATTTCAGTTTATTTTTCACTAGGGAACTGGTAACATTTATGTCTCAATCTTGTGCCTCACATTACTGCTGATTTGCATAAAGATGAACTTTTCTCAACGTTGCTGTATCGCTGGACACACCCACACCAGTTGCTGTCAATCACGTCGCTGGAAATCACCAACTGTCACTGTAAATAACTGACTTCTAGTTGCTGCAAACCGCTGTATGTGTGAACGTGTTGTAGCGACCTACCCTCCACCCCAGAAACATCCACCCACAGACAGTGTAAGGCTGGTACAGTCCTATAAGATCCTTGCTGCGAACCATCCTGCTTGAGACGAGCTCAATAAACATGCTTATTGGACAGGAGCTAAACCCTACTTCATCTGCTCTAATTGGACACGCTGCTCTTGGCATTGGGATGGGCTATTTGTCGCTGCTCAACTTAACACCGTGCCTTTGGGAGAAGCCAGTGTTAAACTGGCAGAATGCTGTTGGTAACATGATATTCATAATCGGCTTTTCTCAAGTGCTTTAATGAAGCCATACAGCTTGTGTGGAGTGGAGAGGACAGGACTTTTGAGAGAGAGCGCTCTCATTATTCATATAAAAAGCCAGTAGAGCACTTAAAAGCCAAATCATTTATGCAAACATTTCTTAAAAGGATTTTTTCCCCCTTTTTTTGTCATGAGGGAGGACTTTTTATGACGCTAAATGGATTAAGTGGAAAATACTTGATGCATTGTTGTTTGCTCTTTTATATTATTGCCTATTACTTGCTTCAGTGACAGCAGAGGCTGGTGATGCTGGTGGTCCTAATGGGGGAAACCAGAGGCTTTTCGTTGGAGTAGGAGGGCAGGATTTGTATGTTGGGGGCTATTTAAGAGGAATGGCATAGGGTAGGGGTGGGCGGTATGACTCAAATCATACAATACAGCATGAGACTTTTTATATAATGGTACAGCAATATATTATAGTATACTTTATGAAAATGAAAGGTACTTCATCTTGTTGATATTTTCTCTTTTTATATGGAACTTCATGTATGCAAACAAAAAGATCAGGGGCCGGATTCACTAAATGTTATTAGGAATAAAATTGGTCTAAAGAATAAAGATAAAAATATTTTGCATTTCCATACATTAGAATTAGAATTCATGAAAAGAAGGTTCTTAAAAAAAAAACTATTCCTTAAAATAGTTCACCCAAAAATAAAAATTACAAAAAAAAAATGTATGCATCCTCAGGCTATCCAATATGTAGACAAGTTTGTTTCTGTATTACAACAGATTTGGATAAATTTATCATTACGTCACTTGTTCACCAGTGGATCCTCTGCAGTGAATGGGTGCCGTCAGAATGAGAGTCCAAACAGCTGATAAAAACACCACAATAATCCACACAACTCCAGTCCATCAGTTAACATCTTGTGAAGTGAAAAGCTGTGTGTTTTTGAGAAACAAATCCATCATAAAAGCCTTTTATCATTAAATCTTCACTTCTGGCCAAAACACCAGTCCAATAATCCATAATATGGTTTCCTCCATTGAAAAATTCCCATCCCCTGTTGTCCTCTCACATCAAATTGTGTTTTCACTTTTAAACTGTGCCTGATCTGTGCATATTTCTCTTCTGATTCAGACATGATGACTTTTTCAGTGGAGAAAGCAATATTGTGGATAGAGGACTCAAATTTAACCGGAAGCAACAATTTGAAGTCAAAAGTGTCTTAATAATAGATTTGTTTCATTCAGCTTTTCACTTCACAAGATGTTAATTGATGGACTAGAGTGGTGTGGATCGATTGTGGATTATTGTGGTGTTTTTATCAGCTGTTTGGACTCTCATTCTGACGGCACCCATTCACTGCAGAGGATCCATTGGTGAGCAAGTGACGTAATGCTACATTTCTCAAAATCTGTTCTGAAGAAACAAACCCATCAACATCTTAGATGGGATAAGGGTGAGTACATTTTCAGCGAATTTTCGTTTTTGGTGAACTATTCTTGTGGAATTTGAAACCCTCAAATGTAAGATATTTAATGAGAGTGCAGGAAAGATGGAGCGCAAATGAATGCAACTGACCATCTTGAGAGAGGGTCTTTAGAAAAGTGCTGAACGGCAGTCAAACCAGTTAAATAACAGCATGCATGCTTATTATGATTGTGGTAATCTGCAGGCAGTGCCAAAAGTTGTCCTTTGAGGTGTTTTTCATTGAGTTGATTATTGAGTCTTCTGTATGAATCACCATACAATCAGATGACACCACAGCCTGTCTTCTCAGGATGTTCGGTCAGACTTTATATTAAGTGGCCTTAATTACTATATACTTAATTAAAAAAATAAGTACAATGTACTTATTCTTTTCATATAGCATTGCAAAACACGGTAACACTTTATTTTAAGGTGTCCTTGTTACACGTTACATGTACTTACTATTACAATAAATTATTCATAATTACATGCAAGTAACCCTAAACCAAACCCTAATCCTAATCCTAACCCTAACCATATAGTAAGTACATGTAGTTAATTAATATTACTTAGTACTTAAATGTATAATTACACTGTAATAAGGACACATTAAAATGAAGTGTAACCCAAAACACTTTTGCTGCTATGAGGTGGGATACAGGTAAGGTTAGGGACAGGTTTGGTGGCATGGGTACGTTTTTAGGGTGGGTTATGTTGTAAGGGATGG